CCAGGCAGTGGGCAGGAGGAAGGTGTTGTTTTGGCACCAGCCCTGCTCTGCTGCATCTCCACCAGAGGGTGCGAGCTGCCACGGAGGCTGGGCTGCTGCCGTCAAACGGGAGATGCCGGATGCAAATGAGATGCTCAAGGCAGATGCTGCAAGCATGGCCAGCCTGGGGAAGGGCAGCTACCACCGCCTGGCTGGGCTAAAGTGTCTCCCTTTTCCTCCACTGAAGAGGACCCGGTGGGTGGAAGGTGGGAGTCGCACAGCCCCTAACCCCCTGATGCTGGGGGGCTGCAGCAAGTGAGCTGGAGGGTGTCACAGCTCAGCCCCAGAGCCACCATCTCCACGCCACGCAGCCCCCCACCATGACACCAAGCCCCCGCACAGCTTGCATGGTCAAAAGCCTTTATGCCTTCATGCACGGGCACCACGGGGACCTATGCTATCCCCTCTGTGACTGCTTCACCCAAGATGACATCGACCCTTGTGCCAATGCCACTGACCCCTCACATGGGCCATTTGCTCCAGCACCATTGTCTGTGCTGGAGCAGGGTGATGCTGTGCTCTCTGGGCACCAGTCAGCAGGAGCCTTAGCCCAGGCACAGCTTGCATGGAGAGCAATGTCAGCCAGGTAAGAGTGGTGGTGTCCCTCCAACAGTGATCACTGCTGCTGAGCCACCTCTGTGCACCCAACCCTGTGTTCACTGACCAGGTGGGGCAACCAACCCCATGCAACTCATTGGTCCCCTGTGGCTGGAAAGCTCATCCCATCCTCTCCCAGAGGTCCTGCCGTCCCATGGGGTGGCTCAACCCAGTCCTATCTACCTGCAGGTTCTTTTCAGCTTCCTCCAGAGCCTTTTCTACGCTGGCCAGGTTGCTCTCCAGCTGGGTGCCTTGCTTGACCTTGGCCTCCAGGTCCCTTTTCATTTTGGTGGTCATGTCCTCCAGCTCTATGGGGCTGAGAACAGAGATCTCCTTCCCCCTCTTAGCCCTCTCTGCCATCTCCCACTGGATCTCCTCCTGCAGGGCTTCAGTCCGGGTACTCAGCTCATAGATCCTCTGGGTGTACTCTTCCAGGCTGGCCCGCAGGCTCCTAACCCGCTCCTGCCGCTCCCGCTCACACTCCTTTTCCAGTCGGAGCTCGCTCTGCCAAAACTCCTCCTCACCCAGCTCCGTCTCATTCCTCCGCACCAGTTGCTCCAGATAGAGGATCTCATTCTCCTGGCCGGAGAGCCGGCTGCGCTCCCACAGCCGTAGGTCCATTTCCAGGGTGTCCCCATGGGCCTCCAAGGAATGCAGCTGCTCCTGCTGCTGCAGCACCCTCCTAAACAGCTCCTCCTTGGAGGGTTGGACAACCCCACCGCCCTCCAAGTCTATTCCTTCCCGTGTTTGGTGCCTCCATCGGCTCACAGCGAATGGGTCACTGGAGCCTGTAGGACCCAAGTTGAAGGTCATGGATTTTTTTGGCTCCCGAAGACGGGGTACATCCATGCTGGTGAGCCTGGGCTTGATGGGCAAGCTGGCCCGGATGAACGTCCTCTCGGGAGCTTGGGGAGCGCCCTCCGAGGAGGGACGCTCGGCCATGCTGGGGCCTGTCCGCCGCAGGATGAACTGCACGTCATTGGCATACTGCCCACACTTGGCCAGCGACTCCAAGGGGCACTCCAGTGGCAGGAGCTGCCGCCCGCTCCTTCTCCCGCAGCTTCTGCACCAGCACATAGCGGCCCGTCTGCCCTGCCGAGAGGAGGTGAGCACATCAGAGGGGGAAGCAGTGGCCAGCAGTGGTGTGCTGAGGCTGCTGCCCCACAGGCATCCCCACCACCACAGAGCAGGACCCTCACCCACTCTAGGTCTCCTCTTCCCAGGAGGCACCTGCAGATGGGTCATCCCCCCGTCCCCCCAGCAGATGGGGATGACTCACCGATGGCCCGCGCTAGGGCGATGACCACTTCTTGGCAGGTGGTTTGCTCCGAGACGCCGCAGACAACCCTCTGGATTCCATCCACCCAGACCTTCAGCTCCATCCCCACAGCTACCGGACCTCAGGTGCACTGGGACATTGCAGGACAGGCTGCCTGCAGAGAGAAAAGAAAGCAGGTTTCAATCCCTGGCCACTAACGAGGAATGCAAGAAGCTTTAAAAGCAGTTCCATTAAATCATCATCCTATGGGGTGAATCCTAGACCGAGAAGTTGCTCACTGCTGCCCTTCACACAGATTGCATTATTGTTGACTTTTGGTGGACTTTCACTGCAATTTCTCTGACAATTTGACAGTGTGGCACCAAACAACATTGGAAAAGGCAGAGAAACCACTGTCGGCCTGCTTTTGCAATGGGATATTGAGGGAAGGTGCAGATGACGAACAATTTAATCTATTTACCTCCATCTCAAATTATCAGAGAGAGATGATGACATTAAAATAAAGCCTTTTTTCTGCACAAAAGCATGACCAAAGGTGGAGTTTGGGAGGGGGAGCCAGGCATGAACACTCCTGACAAAGCCCAGGCTCTGACCAACAGTGGGGTCAGCTCAACTCCCACCCAGCAGCTACTTCTGCCTTAAAACAACACCTGTTGGCCCAGGCACACCCAACTCCTGCCTCTTCCAGCAGCTCAACTACTGCAATGGTCATAAATGCAAAAAAAATTAAATTGAGCACAAGCTGTAAAGAACTCAAATATTTAAGTTTACGTTGTTTTCAAACACTGTGCAAAGAGGTATCATTTCCCCCCCTTACAATACTATTTTTTTTTTGTAGTATCTATCATATCTGAAAGCCCCAGATGGAGGAAAAATTTCCCTGGAAATTTCTAGGCCCTCCATCCAGAGTCACAAACTGCTTCCCAACCTTACCTGGCTGCTTACAGCCCCTCCATCCCAGCTCTCCCAGGTTTGCAGCCAGGTTGTAAGAAAGTTTGACCTCAGGTTTAAACATCACTTCTTCATTATTTTTTGTTGCCTACTTGAGTAATCAAAGGGTGGGCTTGAAGGGTCCTGTCTCCAGTGACTAGGAATTTTAGTCATGTTGTGAAAAAGGCAAGGAGAAACCAGGGAAGACATGGCTTGGTGAGGCTGTTCTGCGCAGGTGCTTCCGGGTCCTGTTGGTGCCACCCCCCTGCCCACCTCCAAAACATGGGTACGGAGCAGCAGTTGCAAATACCTCAGCGTTGAGCTCATGTTTGCCTTGGCTGAGCGACTGGTGAAAACCAGTGCGGGTGAAGGGTACTTTGGGTTCTGCTGACCTCCCTAACCCACTGGGTTTGGGGCAAAGTGAGCCCAAACCCACTAAAATGTACAAGATTTAGCCCAATTTAATTTTACAGCTGGGTTTTGGCACTGCTCACCCTACTCTGTGTATTCAGGGCTGAAACTGTCACCTGTCACAGAGCAAAGTCCAGGTGCCACTTGCAACACCACCCAGCTCACCCCAAAGTCACTGTTGTTCGTGCCCCCCACCCCAACCTCCCCCTCGGCAGCACCCTGGCACTAAAACTTCAGTGGCAACACATCCTAGGGAGCATTTCCCCCCACCCCCAGCCAGCGACCAAGCTCACATTAAATCCGGCTTCCTGTGCCATGACCCGGTAAGGAGGCCAGGAGCTTAAAAGTAAATAAGTAAAAAATCACTCAGCTTGTTGAGTCACACCACACAGCCTCACCTACTGAGAAATCTAGCTGCTGCCGAGCACTGTGGGCTGTGGGAGCAGGATGGCTGCTGGCACACGGGTCCCACACACCTGTCTGGGTTCAAACCTGGCACCAACCTCTGGCCCCGCCTTGGCCAGCCTTCCCAGCAATCATTTACCAGCACGTGGCACACCACTGCCAAAAAGCTGGGGGCAGGAGCAGCTAGCTTTTCTCCCCCCCAAAAAAGCAGCCAGTGCATCCTCTCTACTGCATCTCTCCTTGCCACATTCCCCAGCACCCCAAAAAACCAATCACTTTTATTATTTCCTTAGCTTCTTGCAAGCACAGGGAGTCCCTGTTAACTGATCACTTGCTGTAACCCTCTGGGGGTTTTGGGAGTAATCCAGCTCGCTGCCAGATACAGGAGGTTATGTGTTCCCTTGCAAGGGGATGGTAAGTAGGGCTGGGGGCTGCTTCCCCCCTCTGCTTGCCCTACCTGTCACCTTCCAGGGGAGGATCAGCTCCTACCCAAAACCAGTCTGGCTTTCCCTCTTCTCCCAAAGCTCTGGGTTCATGGGAAAGCATTTCAGGTCCCCCAAAATGAGGATGAGCCTTCATCCTGTCAGCTTCCCCCAAAGCCCTGGGCTCATCCTCATCCTGGGGGACCTGCAATGCTCCTTGCACCCCTCAATTCCTGCTCAGGAGGGACATTACAACCTGCACACAGCATCTCATTCCCAATACCCCCACCATGTCAGCATCACCCTAGTTAAAAGAAACCTACCCTAAAAGCACCTGGCAATAAACCTAATAACCTTCATCCCCAGCATCACCACTGCTGTAGTCCCAGCAGCTCTTTAACATCAGTCAACAAGAAACAGCAGCTGGGGGACAGTCTTGCTGCTTCACTTGTAAATATGACCTCCTTTTCTTGAGCTTCCCTGTTGATCCTGCATTAACAGTGGGTGCCTTTGTTACACCACCAGGTAGCAGGAAAAAATGGGCTTTTCTTTAGGCTTTCCTTGGGGAAGAGCAGCTTCTCATTGGGAGGGGGGTTTCCAGCTGCCTCTGTTTGTATTTGCCCTAGAAGGTCACTTTGATCACAAACCAGGAGTGCAGGCAGCTGCCAGGCCCTGCCACTGCCCCAAAAACAGCTCAGGGAAGCAAGCAGGTGGCTGCTCCCAAAAGCCACTCCTATTATTCTTGTCCCCTTCCCACTATAGAGTTCTAAATAATTTTTATGGGAAGCAGATTAACAAAGTGACTAATTTTCTGCTCCCTTTCCCATGCGATAGGTCCTAAAATTAAGGGTAGGAATGATTCACGCCACGTCTTCCAACAGGTTTCCTGACTGAGAGTTGGAATTTCAAATGCTGGCACTAAAAAACAGATTAATTTTTTTTTAAATTAAAAATTTTGGATCTTGCAGCTTTATTTTGTTTCCTGGTGCTGCTGTCTCCCAGCCTCCCTGAAACTGTCAGGCTAAAGGAATAGGAGATGAAGGATAATTTCTGCATGTGCAATAGGGTACTCATTTTGCTCCTGTAAACTGCAATTCTGATGGTTGCCAGGACTCACAAGGGTTTGGTGATCTCCCTGGACCTGAAATAATACATGTCCAGCCAAGAAAATTAGCCTGTCACCTTCCTAATAGAA